TCCTGGAGTCCCGGGATCGAGTCCCGCATCGGGCTCCCTGCTCAGCAGGGAGTCTGCTTCTCCCTCTGACCCTCTCCCCTCTCCCCTCTCATGCTCGCTCTATCTCATTCTCTCTCAAATAAATAAATAAATAAATAAATAAATAAATAAATAAAAAAGAATGCAGATGCGTAACCGACTGAGCCACCCAGACGCCCCGTCTCCTTGACTTTAATACAGAGCCGACTTGGATGGTTTCTGCATTTCCCTCCTCCTTTCTTACTCCCCAAACCCCAGTGATGTCTGCATCCCCTTTTGACCTCTGTCTCCCCTGACCCTCATCGATTGAGTTATCTCTCTGCCTCTAATTTGCCAAATGGCATTTCCTCCTTTTTCTTTTCATAGGAAATGACATGGTTTCAGTTGCTTCTTGGGTGATTTCAACACATGTGTTGGTTGCCCCAGGGTGAGACGTGTCTTGAGAGTAGGGTGAATCAGCTGCAATGTGCACAGGGGTGCTTTCCTGACCCAAACAGGCCGCGGCTTTCCCAGGCGAGCGGCAGTTTGCTACTCTGCATTTTAACTATTATCCTTTTTATCCTACACCCTGATTCTGTTAGGGGTTCAGCAGAAGGTAGAGAGCAAATATTTGGAGTAGGAAAAAGGCAACCTTACGGGATGGGTCCAACTTCCTGGAGTGAGCCTCCTTTAAGGTCGATGTTGACATTACAGTTAACCAAACATATGACTTCATTTGGCTACTTTTACTGTATAGCAGTTCTATTTCCAACGTCTGAGGCTTTTTTAGAACTTTGAATATCACCATTTCTCTGTCGTTGAGGCATTCCTGCTTGGTGACAGATGAAAACAAGCCTGGAAGTCTGAGAAACATCCAATTTAATGTTAGGGTAGTAAGGAGCCCTACCTTTCCATTTCATTTCTTAGATGGGGTGGTGTTTGTTTTGTGAGGATAGTGACAAAGACTTGGAGAATACAGGTCCGTCCCCATGTGAGTTTCTGTGCTTGGTTACATTTCCCTCCACTCCGTGGTTGCCGTGGAGACTAGGCATGGGGGATGGAAGGATGCACTGCTAACCCTCCCAGTGGACCGAGAGCAGTGTCCATAGAGTAGGTCACTAGCATAATTCTTGCCTGTGAAAGCAACACTGTAACGGTTCTTAATGGAGAGCATCCTGGCTTTCGGTTTCTAGAGCAGCACGGTCCACCAGAACTTTCTGAATGATGACACCAGTGTTCTTCATCTATGCCATCCAGTAGGCAGCCACTAGCCACATGTGGCTACCAGGTGCTTGAAGCGTGGCTAGTGCCACCGAGGAACTGGATTTTAAATTTCATTTAATTTTAATTAATTTCAATTTAAATAGCCACATGGCTCTTAATGGTGTTGGACAGCACAGTTCTAGAGCATTAAAAAAAATCTATTGTTTTCTGTTTTATTTCACAACTGTTGGCCCATCCTATATGAAGATCAGTGCCCCTCTGTAATCTAACAGAAATAAATCTGTGACGCTATGAGTTAGGATGTTGTGTGTCTTACTTATTAGCTCTGGTTTCGGGGACTGAAATGGTTATTACCCGGTAGGGTTTAGTAAATCGGTGTCTGCGAGAGAAGAGCAGGAATGACTGTCACCAGACTGTCACCAACGGACCTTGTCTTGCCCGTAGGGGAGGAGGGACAGTTGCAATGCTCTGGGATCCAGGACGGTGCTTTCAGGAACTTATTCTGAATAAGTCGGTCATGTGCAAATATGTATGGCAGTCACTGTTCACTGCTGCTTTTGCTCAGGTTGTGTGTGTGACGAAGAACTGAGAGCACACCAGCTGTCCCTCGGTAGGGGATGGGGCAGATACGTTACTGAGTCGTCCCCTTGTGGCCCCATACAGCTGTGACAGGGAAATCAGCCACACTGTGTACTTAAGTGGGGAAAAAAGCTTAGTGGAACCGTTAAAAGGAGATGATTGTATGTAGAGAGAAAAATCGTATTGATATACACCTAAGAAATAGGAAGACTGTATCCTACACTGTGACAGGGTATTACCCACCATTTCATGGAATTAGGGGGAGGGCCTTTCCTTTCCATTCTTATTTTTTATTCTTCCTATATTGTTGTTAGCTTTAAAACATGAGAGTGTGTTACTTATCCAACCAGGAAAGACAGCAAGGATATATGTTCAGAGGAAAGACAGATGTGTGATGAACTGCCAAATGCCAAGTTGGCTGAATTTGGGCCATTTCACTTTAAGTGACTAGGTAAATAGAGGGAGCAAGAGGTAGCTTATTGGTGTTAGCATGATGACCGTGTTCCATACAGACCGAATGTGCCCTAAGTGATCACGGAGTGCCAGGATATGAGTGGATGAGCAGCATCCGCTGAGAACCATCTTCTGTGCTGAATGTGGGGACACAGAGCGAAACCATACAATCCCCGCATCACCCCACCAACAACTCTGAAGGTGATACAGTACCACTGTGGAGGGCATCAATGCTCTAGAGGTGCTGGGCCAGGGCAGGTGGAGGTGGAAAGAGGTGCTCTAGGAGGTGGGGAGGTGAGGAGGGAGGGAATGTGGAGGTAGAAGGAGGTGCTCGAGGAGGGGCGGAGCCAGGGCCTTAATGGCCTGGAAGAGGCACTTTGCCCTGGCTGCGGGTGAGGAAATTCTCCCTCCAGTGGGGGTGAAGGGGAGGGGGGGTCCCTGGTGAAGAGGTGGAGTGGGGAGGGGGCTGGGCACGTGTCAGGCCCCTGGAGCGGGGCCTGAGTGGAGAGCCGGGAAGAGCGTTGGAACATGGGCGCGTGTGTCTGGAGACTGAGGTTCGGTGGTGCACGGCTTTGGGGGCGCCCTGGCTTTGGAAGCAGGCTGGCCTGCTACTCAGGCCTGCAGTCCAGGTTGTCATCCTCCCTGGGACACAAGCACACGTGTGACATGTGCACGGAATACGTACTAGTAACGATGACATGGAGACAGACTTGGTTTCCATTCTGGTGGAGGGACAGAGGTGGTCTGTGAGGCTGGTTTGAGCCCATCGAAGGGTCTGCAGGGGTAAGAAGCTGACACCAGCTGGCAGGCGCCACTGCCCGTCGGGGCGGGTGATGAGGTCACATGGGTTCTTTTTTGTTTTGTTTTGTTTTTTTAAAGATTTTATTTATTTATTAGAGAGCGAGTGAGAGAGAAACAGCATGAGAGAGGAGAGGGTCAGAGGGAGAAGCAGGCTCCCCGCTGAGCCGGGAGCCCGATGTGGGACTCGATCCCAGGACTCCGGGATCATGACCTGAGCCGAAGGCAGATGCTTAACCGACTGAGCCACCCCGGCGCCCCTTTGTGAGAGTGGACAGAGGTGCAGGCGGGGCGCCCTGGGCCAGGTGGGAGGAGGTGATGTCATTCTCATGGCAGAAACCTTGGAGGATTAGTTTGTGGCAAATCTGTACCTCCGCTAAGCCACAGGGGACTGTTTGGAAATGTGCAGATGGAGTGGCACTGGGGCTGCTCTTAGAGACCTTCCTGAGGCCAGGGGCCCTGAAGTGCGGGTTTGCAGATGGGAGTGAGGAGCAGGGGCCGGAGGGCCGGCTCTGAGACCCGAGGGTCACTGTCTTTATCACAGGTGAGCGTATGGGTAGAAGCTTGGGTTTTAGGGGAATCAGCCAGAGCTTAATTTTTGAAGCTATAATTTCAGGGACCCGCCAAGTACGTTGGGAGGCAGTTGGGTGCAGTCTGGGACTGGAAAGAGGTCTGAGCTGGCGGTGGGATTCTGGGCGCCGTCCCCAAGTGAGGACACCACGTGAGTGTGGAGATTGCCGGCCAGGCCAGGCGCTTGAGGTGGGGCAATGAGTCAGCCCTGGCCTGGGTTGGGGGCGGGGGGTGTCACAGCCTGGAAGGAGCTGCCTGCTGGGGCCCTACCCAGGAGCGTCAGGGCGGAGGGAAAGAGCAGAGGGGAAGTTGCCCGAAAGGGGTGGGCTCCACAGTGTGGCCACCTGTGCCCAGTCCTCATGGATGTGATGTTTGATGTGAGCAAGGAGCGGACGCACGTACTTTCATAGTTAAATAGGTCTGAACTGCTGGATTTTGACAGGAAAGTTTTTAAAAAGGTTTTATATAACTCAAGATGTGGTTTCCTTTCATGCCTGATACACAGAGACTTAAAAATTGTCTGATAATACGGATTTCCCATGTCTGGTCTTTGTTCCTGCTGGTATTAAACTTTCTTCCAGGGCGCCTGGGTGGCTCAGTTGGTTAAGCGACTGCCTTCGGCTCAGGTCATGATCCCGGAGTCCCCGGATCGAGTCCCGCATCGGGCTCCCTGCTTGACAGGGAGTCTCCTTCTCCCTCTGACCCTCCCCCGTCTCATGTGCTCTCTCTCATTCTCTCTCTCTCAAATTAAAAAAAAAAACAACAAAAACCTTCTTCCAAATATAAAGAAATTGTTGCCTGAATTTAAATTATACAGCATAAAAATAAGCATTTTGAGTTTAGAGAGTGTATTTACTGATGGCATTTCCTTGTATGAATCCCCTCAAGGGTAAGAGTTCCCCTTTGGTTCCATGATTCTTACTGAAACCGGGATGCTGGCCATCCCTTTCCTGCCGGTGACGATTCCATTTCTTCTGGTGACAATGACGTCCTTCCTGCTGCCCTGAGTCCCTCAGAGATCTTCGATTGCCCACTGCCCACCCCACCCGGGCGTCCTCCCCCTTCCCACGTGCTTGCCACCCAGCGAATCCTGCCTTTGACTTCTCTGTTTCTCCGCCAGCTTGGAGCTGACCGCCTGCTCGCTGTCATGGCCTGCTGACCTCCCCCGGGAGCTCAGGGAGCAGCCTGGCAGCTGCCGGTGCGGCTCGGGCTCTCGGCCATCGTAGCTGCACAGAACGGAGACCGGAGGCAGAGCCGTGCTCCTTATCTTATCTGGGGGGAAGAGTGAAAAGACAAAAGGTTTTGTAAACATCGGGTACCAAGTTAAAGCTTAAAAGTGTTCAGGCCGAATGCCCCTGTTGCATAGATCCGGGGCGACCATGTGGTTGCTGGAGGAAGGGTGCGTCTCTCCTCTCTCGGGCCGGGAGTCCTTCTCACCCCTCAGTCTGTGTCCCCAGGTCAGTGGCGACAGGACCACCGGCATGGGGCAGAGCGTCAGCACCCCATCTACCAGGCCGGACAGTGTGCGGGGCGCCTCCTCCCCAGCCTGTGAGGGCACTGGGGCCTCCTGTGTGGGGGGTCAGGGTTGAGCCCTTGACCTGCGACCTCGCCCCCTGGAGAGGGAAGCTCAGGGATGCAGCATTCGCTGCTGCGGTCCTTGCAAAGCCGGACTGGAACTCACGTCTGCCTGTTGACCGGGCTCGGGCTGTCAGGCTGTGTGCCCAGGGGCAGCCAAAGAGCCAGACCCCGCGCTGCGGGTGACTCGCCTGAACGCATGGCCCGACGGGTCCCTAAAAGGAGCTTCTGTGCGGTCCTTCCTGTCCCGGGCCACTGTGGGTGAGGCCACACACACGGGTGTGGAACCCGTGCTCGGTGGTGGGTCAGGGGGAACAAAGTGACAGCGGGTCTCGGATGGAAGTCGCACAGCAGAGCGAGGGTCGGCGCCGCCGGCTTACTCGTATTTCTCCCTGCTTCAGATGTTCCTGAAGAACGGGGTCCGCAGCCCCTCTTCTCTCGATCCGGAGGTCCTGTCCATTTTTGTGCCTCCTTTCATCACTAAGGAGGACAGTCAGATGGCTGGTGCCCCCTGTGTGACTCTGAGCAAGACCAGAAGGCGCTCCTTCAGAAAGAAGAAGGACAAGCCCAAAACAGAGCCCTGGAAGGGCCTCCCTCCTGAAGACGTTAGTGTCCCCAACGGCGTGGACCTGCTTGCCCTGCCTCAGCTCTGCTTCCCAGGTATCCCCTGCCCTGCTTTCCTGCCGCACCCATGGTGCTTTCTAGAAACCATGTCGAGAAAGGGTGACAGATGGGGGGCTGGTGACCCCTGGCAGCCTCAAGGTCGAACCGTGGGACTCAGTTCTCTTAAGCTTGGGGGTTTGGGAGCTGAAGGATGCGTGGCCCACGATGTAGTGCAGCTCCCGTTTTGGAGAATGAGTCCCAGACGAGGGGCTGTGCGGATTGCCAGCACGGTTGGTAGGTGCTTTCTAAGGATTTTCACCTTCAATTGACAGGCCGTTCTTCCAGAGGTCTGGTAGGTGGGTCAAGAAGAATCCATTTAGCCTGCGGCATCTGGCCCCCCCCCGCCCCGCCCCCAAGTGTGCTTCCATCCAGGCTCCGCAGCCCCTGTTTTCTGTGCCTCCGGAGCCCACAGCCCGGGCTCACATTTTTTCCCCACCTGGCCCGTTCCCGGCAGCGGGCGGCCCTCATGTTTTCCACTGGTCTTTGAGAAACACCGAGTGGCTGTTGTAGAAAACTCAGACTAGGGACTTGCCTTCCCTCATTCCCGGAATGGAAGGTTCCATCAGGAATGGGTGCTGTCTCCTGGTCTCAGGGATTATAACTCAGGGACAGCTGGGACACCCTCAGGCCTGCTGTGCTCAGAAACGGGCGCCTCCTCCAGGCGCATCCTGAAGGGTTTGTCTGCGGTTGTCCTCGTGTTCCTTTGCTAAATTCTGCAGAGCACAGAGGGCGGCCGGGAAATGGGCACCGCAGAGGGATGAAGGGGCCACGGCTGGCTAGCGGCCTGACCCCCCAGATGCCACAGCTGGCCGGGCGAGGACGGGTTCCGTAGGCCGTGAAGTGGGCTCGTGGACAGCCCAGGCTCGGAGACGGATGCCGCAGGGCCGTGATGAGATTTCCTCTTCTTTCTCCGTCCGCAGGGGGCGTGAACGTGGCGTCGGAACCGAGGGAGGACTGTGTCCACTTCCTGGTGCTGACCGACGTCTGTGGGAACAGAACATACGGCGTGGTTGCCCAGTACTACCGACCCCTACACGTACGTGACTGCCGTGAATTCGCTCTGAAATCGGGCTGTCGTGGTTTTCATTTCTGCCGAAACACACGTCACAAACCACCACCACTCTAATCACTTTAGCGTGTACGGGTCAGTGGCCCTAAGTACACTCCCGGTGGTGGGCAGCCCCCGCTGCGTCTGGTTCCAAAAGATGTCCGTCACCCCGAAAGTCCCTCCCCCGGCCCCCATTCTGCCTCCACGGATTTGCCTGCTCTGGACTCCTGGTGTCAGTGGACTCAGGCTGCATATGGCCTCTGTGTCTGGCTTCTTCCACTCAGTGGACGGGTTCAGAGTTCTTCCACGTTGGGACAGCAACGCCTCCGTTCTTGTGGCCGAGTCCCACTGCCCCGTGGGTGTGAGCCGAAGCTTGTTGCCCACGCGTCCACGAAGGGGCACTCAGGTTCTTTTGTGCAGGGTGACGGCTTTGGGCCTCCCGAGCATGACTCGGCCCTCCCCCGCCTGACAGGGCCACCTGTACGAGCCTCTCGAGAGCTCACAGGGGCTGCCACACACCTGAAGAGGTGGGGTGACCTGCTGCCTGTGTCCAGAGGGTTTCCAGAAGCAGCAGGGGCCCCGGTACTTCATCCGGGGAAGCCCAGGAGTCCGACACCGAGGGGGAGGTGGCTGCCCGGATTTTCCTCCCCACTCTGCCATCAGAGGCTGGGCCAGCTGCAGTGGGAGAATTATCCCCAAGTGTCGGGGGACATAAGGTGCAGCTTGACGGGCTGTGTCCCTTCACGCCTGTGGAGTGGCATGGACATGCCTGATGTGCGTCAGAAACACGTGGGAGCCCAGCATTCTGCTGAGGTCTGAGTGCGCAACCTCAGTGTCTGGACTAGGTGTCCCCAGGGTGGGCAGCGGGTGGCGCGGGGAGGCCACTGCTCGCGGCCGGGCGTGTGGGCTGTTGCGCCCGCGGCACTGACGGCCTGCCCACCCGCCTGGGCTAGGTAGGGGCGGGCGACGAGACGGGAGGGGGGCCGAGTTCCTGCCCCTCCCTGGTAGCGCTTCCGGCAGAGACAGCACGGGAGGCTGCATCATTCAGGACGGTGCTTGGGAGCTCGTCTGTGGAGTGATTGCTATGAGAAGTGCATATTATTTTTATTATCATTAAATACATTTAAAAGAGGTCACAGCCCTGCGCTTTGCATGTGACTCCCCCCTACACCTGGTTGCTGGGGTGTGCATGGCCCCTCGCCTGTCCTCTCAGTGCCTGCGTGGTTTCGGGGTGACCCTGGGCCCTAAGTGCCGGCCTCCCCTCCCTCCCCGCGTGTCCATGACCACCCACGCCCCTTCCTGCGCTCCTGTCTTTCCGTGGACTGCACGTGCAGCCCCTCCCGGAGTGCAGAGGGCACCGTGGTCCTCATATGCGAGCCGCCCACTCGAGGCACGCCACTCCTGCGCAGTCATTCATTTAGTCCACACCACAGTGAACGAGGCTGCGAACCCAGTGTCATCCCCGTTTTACAGATGAAGCAAGCAGTTGCACAGGGAGGCGAGGTAACTTGCCTGGGGGCCCCCGGCACACTGACTTGACGGCAGTAGGCCTTGGTTCAGTGTCGGTGGGTAGACGGATGGCGTGCCCGCTGGGCTTTCCCCCTCCCTGTCTTGCAAGACCCTCACATTCACACCATCCCCAGGTGAAGCTGTTATCACACCTGCCATTCCTGCTCAAAAACCCCGAACAACCCTCCGCGGGGGCCAGATTGTGGCCCCCAGCGATGTGCCACTCGTCAGCTCTGCAGTGGTCTGTGCCTTCTGGAATCCCGGCGCCGGGTGCTTTCTCCAGCTGAGAGCCCCCCCCCCCAGCCAGACACACACAAATGCTCTAATGCTGCAGCTTCTTTCCTTTGTAAGCAGAGCCCGTGGCCCCTTCTGTGTCTTACTGTGTTCTCACTATGCATCCCTTCCCACCCAGGCGGGGACGTGTCTCACCATCTCCACCACCTCAGCATGTCACAGACAGCAGGCACCGGGGGGGCCCATCCGCGCCAACTGGGACTCACGGACTCACGGTGACACCGGGGGGGCCCGTCCGCACTGACTGGGACTCACGGTGACACCAGGGGGGCCCGTCCACGCTGACTGG